ATCATATTACATATTTGTTTTACGCTTCTAAAGGCGAGCAAAATAAAAAAAAAGCAGAAACTCTGTAGACAACTGATATAATAGTTGCGTGTTCACAACCACATGCATAATATGGAGACGGATAGACACATCTGATTTGTTCTTTTTCATGACAACAACCTTGGTGGTGTAGCGGCTTAACACACCGCCTCACTTTTCAATGGTCGTAAGTTCGATCTCGATAATAAGATTTGTTATTTACTAGCACGTCTGCTTGTATTAAATCTGGTGTTTTCTATCGGTTGTCTAGAGCCCATAGTACCTTACTTAGATTGAGACTAGATCGCACTGGAGAATTTGTCAAATGGAATTTATTATTGTCTAGTTAGTAATTCCTTTATCAAATGTTTACTTGGATAAAAATATTGTTATTAAAAAGAACATAGGCTTAATCACAGATTATACTGTATGCATTGCACTCATTCGTTGTCACTCCTTAGAAGTAAGTTCACCTATTTCTAGGTGAATGCACTTTCTTGTCCTTCAGTTGAAAATTCTATCTATATCGGTATCAATATATTGCGAAAAAAATATAACCAACTAAAAGTACTTGTTTCGAAGATGTTATTAGCTATTTGCCAGTAAATCATTGCAAAGTAAAACTTTTGTCGCGTGGTTCCTACATAAAGCGGGCTATCTCTTTCTTTCCCGCGGATGTTGTAAGAGGCGACTAAGGGAACTTAATGTTCAAGGGATAGGCAGCATACGACTGACATCTCTTAAAACGTCATCAAATCCTTATTGCGGTTGCCAACCCGCCTGCTAAGCGTGGTAACTTCTGGCAAAACTCACCTTATGGGGAAGGTCTGTATTCAATAAAAAATATCATACGTGTGTGATTTCAAAGTAAAAGGAATATTTTCACATACTAATTTATTATATGGGGTTAACAGATAAAGACAGGTAAAGAATAAATATAACTTGTCTACCTATAATGAAAATAATACGAAATCTTATAATTATAGACATCACATTAGTATTAAAAATCATGATAAAATAAAATATCGCAAAAACTAACCGATTTCACATTTCTCTCTGTGGGAGTGGATATTATAAATTTTATATAATATACTTACAACACTACGGAAATAAAATAATGAATTATCCTAATATTAAAATGATAAAGGTGAAAGTCTGCAAAGATGTGTGGGTGTGTTACTCAATCATGCTTAAACAGTTAAACGGATTAGAACAAAACTTGATACTCGGATAGATCATATCCTACATTTACACATCATCAGTTTTTATACAAATTATCGCGGGCAAAATTGTAGGATAAAGTTAGTTATAAGTACCGAAATAAAGATGACACTTAATTATCTAGTATTTACCTACTAAGAAGTATAACTAAAAGAAATATACAATGTAACATAAAACCTCATCCTATTTTGAAGTCGGTTAATAAAAGACCATAATAAATACCACTATATCTAAGTACTGTATATTATGCTTAACAAAAATTTTAATTATTAGAAAATGCCCTGATTAACGTCAAAATATTTCGTAACTACAGCAATTGGATTTAATAAAAATATTAAAATTTAGAATACGAACAATATATTTTATTCCTCAACTACAATTTACAAAGTTCTGGGGTAGATACGGTAAACGCTATCGATTAAAAAATAATCTAAATTGGTTCAGAATTGGCGACACAATTGCGTAATATAGCCTCAAAAATTCGGCCTTCTTATAATAATAAAACATAACAAAACAACTAGGTACGTATGAGAATGGAAAGTGCCAAATTAATATTTTGAAAATAAAATAAGTAATTTCAGAACTGATTCAATTAAAACAAAACGTCCTTAATTGATTCACATTTCCCTTCCTAATAATAGCGGTCTTTAAAATTATTAATAGGAATAGAAACATGCAGGAAACTGATTGATGAACAGCCATTACTATGTACAATAATTCATTCAAACCTTATTTTTGCTGTGAATCCTAAACAAACATAAACATTTGATAATTAATGTATGGCTCCATATGTTATAAAAAAATTGATGAATGTACTACGTAAACTCATCAATTTTTTTTATAACATATGGAACAAACGAGCACGCGGTTCACCTGATGGTAAGTGATTACCGTCACCCATAGGCATCCGTGACATCTAAGAAATTGCAAGTATGTTGATGGCCTTAACATTAAATTGGGATTGGTGTATTATAATAAACTTTAATTTCTATACTTTACGGGATTTTTTGCAATACTAACGAATTTTTTTTAGTATTTTGGTTTGTAATCCCCTATAAATAAAAACCTCGTCCATCATATTCTATTTATTCGATCTATAGCAACGGGATCAGTTTATACGAATCTCAAATTAATTGAGGAATTTACGTAGCTATATGTTTTTAACCTAAACCGCTAGTTATTTTTCACTTAATTCAGAAATTTTTAATTAATTTTAAGTAAATTGCATTACAAAAGTTGTCTTATATAGCTACTTGAAACAAGTCAAATATAGACTTTCACGATAAGGTTTATTTTGTAATTTAATTTTATTAACGTTATACAAATATTTTTTTATTTATGCATATTACCAACATTTTAAAAATTCTAATATGAGTTCTAAGGAGTTTAGGCATCCATTACAAAAGGATAGTCTAAAATTCCTACAAGAACGCCAAATAATGTGTTCCACAGGCAAAGTCGCGTTAAACAACCAATATATAAGTACTTTAAAATAAAATAAGCACACGATATCAATAAAAATTGAAATACCTAACTTAGCTGTTAAGTGTAGGTGTTACCATAGCCTCGTAGTTAATTGATCGAGATGAGAGATTAAAAGCTTCGCCGACGTACTTATTGCTACAAACACGATACAAACTCCCACATACAAATAAAAATTACCTTGATCTTAATACGACATTCCTGTTATCGTTAACTCATTATTACTGATATTGTTGTTATTAATATAAATAAATATTCAAGGTTCAAAATAAGCAATTTTACTGTAATTGTAAATATAATATCTGAAATCAATATTAAAATTAATTTTTGTCATGAAATTGTGTACGTTTTATTGCCAGCGCTTAAATGCACTACGTTTGTCTGCTTATAAAACTAATAGTAATTATAGTAGATATAATATAGTAGATAGTAGTTCCACTGATGGGCACAAGTTCTTTCTTATACATAAGAGTATCGATCGATCGATCGATTTCCGTTCATGTATAAATCATATATATATATATATATATATATATATATATATATATATATATATATATATATATATATATATATATATATATAAACAATAAACAAAGGTTGACTGGAGAAATCCCTTTTACGCAATCCGCCATTGTACTAACATTTAAGGACTCCACGGTGTACCCATGATATACTCGTAAGATTTTACTGTAGTACAATAAAGTGTCACGTTCATATTTATTACATTAGTAAGGATATGCAGGACTGGATTTAGCCTAGAACTTTTCTTGAGCCGCAGAGACCCCTGTTCAGTCTAAAGTGTCAATGTTGAATCCCTATGCCCTCATAATAGAGTTAAGATTTGTTATACAAACAGAGATATAGATAAATTATTAATTGAATTTTCTTATGTTATAAATGCAATGAAATATAAGTATACCTTATACCTATACTTATTTATCTTATTGTTGTCGCAGTTAATTGTTTAAACAGTTAATTCCTTATTTTTACTTCTATCACAATAATTGTGGCAACCCTTATATATCTTGATTATTCTTGCTTGTTTGTTTCAACTTATCACGTAAATTGTGCTGAATTAATTTCTTTCTTTCTGCCACTGAATATTAATTTATCAATACGAGATTACAACTTCTTTTTGTGATATTTGGCATATTATATCGCTTATGTACAGTAAACATTATATTTTTATTATAATTTCCTTAAATTAATTGAATCGAAAATAAAATTACACTTTGTAGTCATTTTATTTTCTGTTTATCGTATTTCTAGGTCTAGTTAATTTTATACTCTTGCGTTATTTACATATTTAAATACACTATTAAGACTTTTTTTTTATTTTATCATATATACAGATAAACATAATTTTAATCGCCTCTACAATGATTATTACAAGGAGGTGATTCACAATTTGTCTGTGAAAATATTACGGTATATATTTTTATATAATAACTTTTTATGACAATATTTTATGTGAATGTATATAAAGGGAGGTACACCTACTCGTAAATATTTAACAGTAATAGTATTGATCCACTAATAGCATTAGAGACAACTATACTATTATTATAATTAAATGTGAATATTTTGAAATCAAAATTATTGTACAATCTATATAACTGTAGTTGAACTGAACTCGGCGATTGGTTTCAAGGTCGTAATGCCAGGAATTTCAGTGATCTCATATTAGTTTTCTCATTTCACTAGACTTTATGAGTTCCCACGACGCGTTTAAAATAGTGGAGTGTATGTTTTCTTGCCATACCTTGGCACGTATATTGCAAGACATCTATATCTATGTATATATGACATCTATTTCTTAATTTATTTACACTTGATAATAACATAAATTATAATTCTATTCAAAATACCTAATAAAATAATAATTGTTATGTATATAATACGGTCGGATATCACAACAAAATCTTTATTGTAAGGACCAATATGAATTAATTTTCTAATAGATTAAAACAGTAGTTTCACGAAATTATCAAATTCAAACATTAGGTTAAGAAATAAGTTTAAATAAATGAAACCTCAGAATCGGTCCCAATGTTTCTATTATAGTTCAATAGTAATAGCTAATATAACTAAAGTACGTATAAAATCAATAATCAATTAAGAATCAATTCAACATATAATTACAAGAATAAAATTCATTGGAACACAAGAATTCTATACAAAATATTTTAATGATATTTAACAACAATAAAATATAATTTTAAAGCAATTTTTAATATATTTAATTTACTTTTATATAACTAATCAATTCATCTCAGAGTAATAGTGCCAGTATGTATCAGTGAAATATGTAAATCACCTTTATAAAAAAAAATGTAATTGGGAACATTATCACATTTATATTATGAGTAAATAAATGTTTAGAAAATCCATGTTTTAAATATAGATATACTAAAAGTAAATTTTATAGTACACGCTCATAACTGCTATCAAGCGCAGGGTCTTGGGCGTTGCTCCGCTTAACGATGCCATTGCAGGATCCTGCAAAGATAAGAAATGGCGTCGCTGAAATATCAACTAGTCACATTAGCATATCTGCAGGATACTATTCAAAGCTCTGTAATTCTAAAGTAATAGATAATAATGTCATTTATATTCACTAGTTTGTTTACAAATCCTTTTTACTTTAATTAAAAATGTTTGAATTTCTAAATGTCTTGTAACTATCGCAATTATCGCAACGGACAAAGATTTTTCAACAAAAATTTAAAATTTCAAAACTTTCTTAGATTTTACAAATAAAAAATATTCGTATAGCAATGAAAGTAAGAAATATAAATCATGATTGAGATGATTCACTTTGGATGCATTTTATGTTAACTGCAATTGAGTTATCAACTTTTAATTAAATTTATGTATCAGTTATTAAACGAAACTACTGACCATAACGGTTCCAAGAATAGAAACAATTAATATCTAGTTTAGAAATCATCAATCCAATGACTTCAAGCTTCGTTAAAATCGATATAATATCGATGAAATAAAAGAAATGGTACATTGCTTTTTTCATATAAAAAACTTTTTCTAATCCCGTTACTAATTGCAATTTTATCAGGTATGCAACTGTCAAACATTATTTATTTAAATATATAGTTTATTTATTTTAATACTTTCCATGAAGGTCTCGGCATAACTTATGGTGGACAACAGCAACCCTCTTAAAACATCATTAAAAGCCAAACTGCGGTTGCCAACCCTTCCGCCAAGCATGATAACTACTGGCAAACCCTCCCTTATGAGTGGACAGTTAACGGCTAATACAATACAATTTAATCTTTCTTTAGTATAAAAATAACACTAGCCTCAAATTTTCACATTCAACCGGTTAGCATTTGAAATTTTATCGTGTATGCCCTTTAGCTGTTCATCCATATGGAACGCGTCTCGACTACGGAATCCATTGTCCACGCCGTGTGGATGCCCGGCTATTTATACGTTCCAATCAACTACCACATCGAGAAATTTACATGTACCTATACTTTTTTGTGTAGCACAGATTATATAATGAATCCATAGACTTTTATTTTTAAGTACCCCATTTTACAATGTGATATGCGTCTGTTGCATATTTCCGGTTACCTCATGACTTTGCCTTCGTAACCTTGCTAACAAAACCAGCGAAATATTATTTTCCTGATTAATAACTTTTTAACGCACATAAAAACGATGAAGTTTCAGCACAATGTTTGAATTTGAGAAGTCCGATCCCCATTAGTCCTATACGTACTAATTAGATAGTTAGAATTCTTGTCTATTTGTTTTTATTATTATAAAAAAATATTAAAATAATAACAACGATTTCAAATAGTAACAAAACTAAAAAACTAATGAGCTTATGTAAGAAAATTTCTACTAATAACAAAAGTTATAACTTTACATATTGTTATAGATTACTTGTTGCCAGCAAGGACACGATTAACACCAATTTAATTATGACACGAAACTGAATTCGAAACCTTTCAAGCTACGACCAAATGCATTGTCATACATGCAACAGTCGTGATACAATCTTAATATCAATGCAAGATCATAAATTAAACATAATATGGAAGTCTCCTTGACTCTCAGGAAATGGTATTTCGGTTAAGAATTATCATAAAGCTGTTATTAACTTTGGTAACGAACGAATGTCGTTAATTGATGTATATAATTATAATTGAATGTTGTAATGTATACAATGCTGAAATGTGTTTAATATATCATGCTAATATAATGACAATAACGCTTTTCGTAAGTCAGTCAGCTGCAGTTTTGTAAAATGACTAACACTACACAGTTATAGGATACCAAAACGAGTAAATAAACAAACTTAATAGTTGGTTTTAAGTTCATTTGTAACAAAGTTACATGCTACATAGCACTGCAGCTCTTAAATTATAATTAAATTTAATGAAATTTCAGAAGTTTACTATTTTAAACATGCATATACCGCAGAATATAGCCAAGATGTGAAATACTTTTTTAAATAGATAATGCATTTCTATAATAAAATTTTGCCAATGTAATTCATTATATTCAGTTTAATAAACTGACATGACATTGTCTTATACTCTTGACAAATATTTAACGTTTTCAGTTTGGTAATAAATCTGTCCTAAACTGGTCATGCTACCATAACTATCAAAGCAGTCATTACGGTATTTGCGCCTCATATTAAATTGTGGTCATTGACTTGGCTTTGCCGTTAACTTACACAAAATTATTTTAAATTACAATTACAAGATGTACTCCAGAAGAAAAAAATTTAGGGTATCTGAGCGATCTACACTCGCTTTGGTTTGATGTTTTTTTTCGTCAAAAATGCTAACTATCTAAATAAAATTTTCATCTCCAACAAATTTTCAAGAAATGGAATTGAATTATATAAAATAAACGAATTCTCGCTTCCCTTACTTTTACAATTTATATTTACTTGAAAACATGCTAAGATTATTCTGAGAGTATGCTTGACCGCATTTGCAAACTATTTTATATGTAGTTATAGCTTAGTTGTTTTGATCTTTTATACTAATTCTAGTTAGCTCTGTCTCAAGATATATAACAACACACATTATTTACATTGTCCATTGTGGCGTACAACTTACAAACTACTACAAAAAGAACAGTCCTTAACCATCGATGACCAACGGCAACCTGCAATGTATTTGCGGTCGTAACAGCGCGTGTAACACATAGTAATTAAATATATAAGGCAATGATAATGTATTATAATTCGATAATAATAATATAATATATTTTATGAGTTTTAAAACTATAAGATTTATAATTAAACTTTCGGATCAAAGTTATGAACTAAGTAATCTACCTAGAATATGAGTAAACAAGCGATCAATCAGGCAATCGAGGACTCTTTTCACAGTGATTTGCAAACTATAAATTACTGGTTGGTGTTGGCTTGTTGGCAATGCTAAATATAATCGTGGAGAGAGGGAGAGCCGGTGCGAAGGCGGCGCGCGACGGCGCAACGCGACGCACTATGGCGCCAACTCGCGAGTCAAGGACGGCGACCGATATCGCGGGGTTTGTCTTGTATTGTTATTTTGCTATAAAACCACCTCTGGGATTAACTAAGGCGCGAGAAAATGGCTGTCGAGTACTTGCGTTGCAGCTATAATTAACTAACTAGTAATTATGGCCGTATTTAGTAATACACCTAGGAATGTTCCGCTCAATTCATTACTGACACGGCTTATCTGTTTATTACTAGTTTTCAACTGTAAATTCGTCCGCGCGACTGTGATATATTTATTAACTTAACGAGTTCATTCATCATCATCACCATATCAGCCGTTAACTGTCCACTGCTGAACATAGACCTTTCCTATAAGAGAAGTCTTGCCAGTAGTTGACACACTTGGCGAGCGGGTTGGCAACCGCAATTAGGTTTTAGGTGATATTTTAATAGAGACGTTGCTGCCCATTCCTCGTCTTCTAAATTTCCTTAGTCGCCTCTTACGACATCTACGTGAAAGAAAGGGGTGGTCACACGCCACGAGCTCATTAATAACGTAAAATTAACAGAAAATTGTTGATTGCCACCATGGGAACAACTTTGTAATTTCAATAAATTATTGTACTAAGTATAGGTTTCAATGCAACGGAAAATTGCCAAATCTCGTTCATTTGCTAATTGTGTAGCAACATGACTAAATAGGTAGGTATTTATGAGTAATGTTGTTTTAATTTACAATTCTATCATAATTTTTCATATCTGAGGTTCAATATACCTATTCATGTTTAGATATAATAAGTAGTAAGGAACAAGCAAATATTTTATTGTAGCGAAAAAGCAGATTTTTAATAAATTGTGAGATATAAATGAATACTAGATATAAACCTACAAATTAAACATAATAATAGTCTCTTACGCCGTGTGGTCACGCCATAATATAGGCCACTCTTTCCTTTCTCGTAGGTGTCGTAAAAAGCAACTAATAGGAATTAATGGTGGAGGAATTGGCAGCCCCTATTAAAACATCACCAAGAACTAACTGTGGTTACCAACCCGCCTTTCAAACTTAGTAACTATTAGTAAAACCCCTCAAATAGGAGGCGGCCTACATATGTTTAGCAGTGGACAATTAACGGTTGCAAAGATCATGATATTCTCTTTAATATAAAATAACGATGTTTGAAATTAAGTAAATACTTATTTTCCTAACAATGCCTCTACAATAATCTACTATTTTGTCTACTTGTCAACTTAAGCAAATTCCCACCTTCGTCTTTGTACATTGTTAGTACTTATTGCAGACTTTTCGGTACTTATTAATTCTGTGAATTTTGCGATAGTAATCACTCGCACGTAGAGTAATAATGAGAATATTTCAATACCTAAAAAATACAACACAATAGGTAGATGTAGTTTTACATTAAGGAAGTATGGTGACCGTGAGAGAACAACGACATAATAAATTAAACATTTTTATTAACTTGGCCAGCCAAAGTTATCAACAAGTAGTTTTATACATCCCAGTTATTAGAGCCATGTCTGAATTTAATTTATATTTGAAAAATTGTTAATTTCTTTTTAGTTATGTAAATTTTTCTCAGAAGCTAGCTTTACAAAGATGTGCGAGAAGCTACGGGTATGAAGATTACAAATAATCGTAATAATATATTTTCGTGTAAAAAATTAAAATGGAATAATAGGATTTATTCCCATTACAAGCAAATATACTAATTAAACTGTTTATTGTCCATAATTTAATTTAATTGTAATTTATTTTTTATATAAAAAAACAATGGATTTTTACGAGTTCATAATTCTAAATTCTAAAGCAATTTTGATTATTCATTTTCAACCATTAAACTATTAATTTCAAAAGAAATTAATAATTAGCAATAATAGTAATAGCTATATTATATTAACTTCATTTAATGCAATTAATGCATCCAAGTACATGGAACAATGGAATATGCTATGTCATTAGGGGTACAGTGTCACTATAATGTTATTCAAGCGATGCACGACGTACGCA